TTCTGAGATATGGCAAAAATGAGACTGCAGTTAGATTTTTGCAAGTTTACTTGCAAAAATATCACAAAATCGAGGTGTTTGCTATATCGTAAGAAACCACAACACAATGAAAAGTGAGAGAGAGAGGGAAGGAGATTATTAAGCGATTGCATAACGCTATTTGATCTCAGCGGCTGCTAGAGATCAAAGAAGCGTGCTGTTATTGGGCCAGCAGCTGGCTAGGCTCCAATAAACAGCAGTTCATTGTTCAAATTTTAGTTAAAATTTTATTTTTATTAATATCTGTAAAGATCTGATAGCATCTAATAAAGCGTTAAACAGGTTATTTTTATATTTGTTTCGCCAGATGAATTCTAGTAAATATTTTTCAATTTTGTCTTGGTTTCTGTCTTGTTCTCTGATGAATAATTTTAACGCGGCCCAGGTTCCTTCTATGTGGTTGGTGTGAATGCTTCCTCTGTATTGTGGTGTCTGTGAATGGTTAACCCTCTTATGTGTTATGCCCAGTTTTTCTAGATAAAAGTATCCTTTCCACGAATCTGTGTGAATGATCGATTCGGGTCTCACGTGTTTCTTGATGATTCTTTTCAGGGTTTGTTGATTTCTATTCTCTGTTACTATGAAAAAACATTTCTTCCTTTAGGTTCTTTCTACGCCACCAACAATCCAAAAATCCTTGTTTCTCTTGAACTTGCTCTCATCGATCTCCACAATGATATCCTTGCCACCAATGATCATGTTATCTTCTTCCAACATGTTTATAATCAGATCTCTAAATTTTTTGATGTACTTGACTATTGTATGATGTGATTGGTTGGTTATGAGATCGATCGATGTGTAGTTTATCCTGTTCAACCACAGGTAACCTAATAATAAAATATCACAGATTTCCATTTTGCTCTTCTCGAAGAATGAATTTTTAACGATTGATGTTGTTTTCTAACAGTCTTGATTCTTGCATTTGAATATTTTTTTGAATCTATCGAACTCTTTATTGTTGCAATTCTGACATTTTTGGCTGTGAATGAGGTCTTTCTCTATGATAAATTTTATGCTTTCTTCTTCGTTAAAAAGGATATCTTTTAGTGATTTGATGCTATTCATCTTTATTAAAATTCGTATCTGGTTTTTGTTTTTCTTGTTTGACGAGAACGACAATTACAACATTGAATGATGACAATTAACAAGATCAAGATGTAAAGTTTTTTGAAATCCATTTTGTTCAAACATTATTTGCTTTCATCCGTATTTATATAAAAAGATCGCGTTTCATGTTTATTATTTCAATGTTGATTCAAGAATATTATAAAATTTTAGACGTGAAGAAAACATCTTTATTGGAGAATATTAAGAAGGTTTACAGAAAACTAGTATTGAAATTTCACCCAGATAAGAACAAGTCAAGTTACGCTCAGAATAAATTTTGCAAGATAAAAGAGGCCTATGATTATCTCTTAAAGGTTAAATCAAAGAAAAAATCTAGAAAACCAAGAGGTAAAAAACAGACAACTACTCAACAAAAAACACAAAAGAAAGCAATTACTAAGAAAAAAGAAAAGATATTTCTCAAGAAATTCGAATAGTTGTTAAAAGAATTCCTCAAGACTTTATTGTGATGCCTAAGGTAAAGAGGAATAAAAATAAAATATTGATGCGAAAAAAAGAGGAAGTGATTCGAAAGGCAAAGAGTCAAAAGGCTATGATGAAGGGTCTATTCACACTTGATCCTCTCTAGATGATTCATTTTTACGATAGTATAGAGAAGGTTTTCAGGTTAAAATTTGAAAAAAATATTGATGATAAGAAAATAATAGTTAGGAGAGTAAAGAATAAAGTAGAATCTGAAGTTGAATCTGAAGGGAAATCTACGGAAGAATCTAAGTTAGAATCTGAATCACCAAATGAGGAGAAAAAACCTGAACCTGAAGAAAAAAAATTGAGCGCGTACAATCTTTATGTTCAGAGGGAATACAATAAATTGGTAGAACAAGGGTATAAAAATGATGAAATATTGGAAAAAATAGCCGAGCAATGGAAGAATAGTTTTGAAAATTCCAAAAATGTATAAATAGAAACGATGTTTTGTTGTTTAGTTTTAAATGAAAAATTTTGATGATTGTGAAAAAACTTATAGAGCAAAGATTAAATTAGACGTAGTCATAAGTGTCTTGTTAATCATTTTTCTTACATTGTTAATAATAATCTTATCAATTTTCTTGTTAAATATCGTAAAATCTGATTTTTCGTATCTAAATATTTTATTGAAAACTGGATTTTTTCAAGTCATATTGACAATCAGGTTGATAATTTCTGAAGGTTTAAGAATGATTGACATACTTAATTAGTTAAAACTGGCACCGATTTCAAAGAAGAGAAAACCGAAAAAGAAAAAGAAAAAATTAACTCCAAAAAGTTTGGTAAAGCATAGATAACCTTCTAAAAGAAAGACTGTTAGATCATCTAAATCTAACAGACCTTATTGTTCAGGTTGTGGAAAGAAAAGATAGATGCTACCTGCAAAGAAAAAGAAAACAAGAGTGATTAGCTCTTCAAGTTGTGCTGATGGCTCGTGTTCTGCTAGAAAAAAAACTTCTAGTTCTTCTTTCTGTCGAGTCGCGTATTGTGGGGGAGATGTAGGGAAAAAAGATATTTGTGGTAAAAAAAAATCATTTGGTGAGATGTTTGATGATTATAGATTTGGTATTGTTAGGAATGAAATAGAAAAGCGGTGTTTTTATTATGACACGCTTTGGAAAAGATTATTTCTTTATTCATTATATCAGGTTTCTAAACTGCAGAATACGCTGGTGATGACCGATATTTCGATACATTTTAAGTTTACTGTCTTTTTGGGGGCTAGGGAATTTGATCTACCAACTAAGAATGGTACCACTCCTATCACTGGATTAGATGCTCCAATGACGATAAGGGTTTTTCTTTTGGAGATTTGTGATAAAGAAAAAGCGAAAAAATTTCATCTTTTAGAGCTAGAGGATATAGTTGATAATATATTTAAATTGGGGAATAGGATTGAATTTCGTGAATATTTCAAGGTGTGGGTCGAAGAAAAGGTAGAATTTATGTGTGATACAAGATGTTTATATGTTGATAAGGATGTTGTAATTTGCACTAATCTTGGTAATCATAAAACTTGTATCGATTCACAGAAAGAAGGAGAGTAGATAGTGTATGCTCAAGGTAATTTTGTAGTGGCTGTGGTGGTTAATTACATAGATTGGATGTATAAGATGAGATTATGTAGTACAATGGGAAATGCTCGATTGTTGTTTGGTGAGAAATTTGATGTTGGTTTGGGTACATCGGGAATTGGAGCATGGATGAGTAGAGGAGAAATTAGAGCTGGATGGAAGTTGGATTATACAACCACAGGTGGAATTCAAAATATCATGGACATGAATAAGAAATGTTGTGATAAAAAAGATGAGGGGATGGACACAGGATAGGATTAATTATTTATTTTATCATTTATTTTATTATTTATCTTAATTGAATAAATATATAAATACACATTGTTTTTAAAATCTGATAATAAATTGTAAAAATGAGTCGTGTAAATGTTTGATATAAAGTTACTCCACAGAAAAGATTTCACGATTGTTCGCCTCGTGGTGTTGATGATGTAAAGAGACAGAGAGAACTCACTGCTGAAGAACGGTTTGAGGACTCATTCTTGTTGAGTTTGTTCACTGTAGCAAATCAGTTAAATTCTCCACTAGTTAAACCTCTAGTTAACCCTCCACCAATCACCGATGATAACGAAACCTTTGACAATTTAAGGAATACGATTCTGAATGAGTATGATGTTTCAAAATTGGAAGATAATGGATCGATAGATCAAGCAATCAATACTTCAAAACTACCGGATGAAAAACAAAATGTTTTACAAGCTTTACGACAAAATCAGTATGCAATGTTATCAAGGTTTAATAATTTAGCGAAGGATATTAGCAAAGAAACATCAATTCCAAAGCTACAAGATAGTGGTTTTTGGGATATCGAGATACTAGGTGATCTTTTGTTGAATGATAGATTAAAAGATCAATTGCAGAATATTCAGTTGAATAGATTAAGTTACAGACAAGATTACGAAAAGGTTTACAACGATATATCTGAAGAAAAAGATTTAGATAGATTAAAAAATTACTGGAAAAATGCGATAAACAATTCAAGTTTCACATCAGAAGATAAGAGCGAATTGAATGAATTACGTGAAGCAAAGATAAAAGAATTGGAGAATTCAGTTAATGATTTAGATGCTTTCACATCGATAAGAGATGGAATTAGGAAAGACATATTCATAGCAAATTTAGAGGATAATGGGTACTGGGATCATAGAATAAGAACCGATGGTGTGTTGAATTCGATTCAGAAAGCAAATTTACAACAGTTCAAAGTCGAAAAGTTACAAGAATTATCAGATCAGTACTATGATGAAATCAAGAATGAGCTTCCCAGTATTAAAAATCCAACGCAATTGCAAGACGGTTCGAGGATAGATAGAAGAATCAGGCAATTGAAAAATATCAATCTAACAGGTGGAAGAGATGTGAACGATTTTCAACGATTACGGGTTAGCTTGTTAGATTCTTTGTTGAGTCAATTGGAGATTAGTAAATGGGATAGCTATCAAAGATTGATAAATCAGTATTATAGACAATCTCAGATCGTTGATCTGGATGATACAAGCAAACTTGCGAATGATATATTGGCATTGAATGCAACTTTATTGGGTGATCAGAGAAGCAAGCAAAGGTTGATCGATTTTAGAAAAAATAAATTTAATAATCTATTATACCTTTTATTGAGCGATTTGATTAATGAGAAGAATGATGCGAATGAACTTGCTGATGGGGAGAAATATGATAAGGAGATATAGGAGATCGATCAACAATATTTAGATTTTCCGAGAACCAAGGAACAATTACAACAGGAACGTCAAGATCGGTTAAATTCTCTTTTATCAAGCACACCGGCAAATAATGACAAAAAAAAATGCGAAAGACACGAAATTAGACGATGATGAAGACATGAAATTAGACGATAAAAATGATAAATTAGACGATAAAAACACAAAATTAGACGATAAAAATGATAAATTAGATGATAAAGACACGAAATTAGATGATAAAAAAAATCATGACAACAATAATATTAAAAAAATACTTCTTGGATATCTTAGGGAATTTCCCCAAGGTAAATTTAACGGCTCGCTGGAGGATAATAATCTGTTGGATAAGATGATAAAATTATCTACAGAACTGTCAGATGCGCAAAAAGTAGAGTATCAAAAGATTAGAATTTCTATTAATGACATTTACAAGGACGAAGAATGCGATCACTATTTTGTTGATCTGGATGATCTAGAGTATAAAAGTGTCTTTCTCGATACGTCAAAAGCATCTTTTGAGGATGTTGAGCAGTTGATCGTCAAGATATTAAAGACAAAAACAAGATATATGCAAAGTTACGTAATTTTTTTGGAAATAAGATAACGATTCAGATTCTTAGATTGGTTGCGAAATTAGCGACAGATGATATCAAAGTCTTGTTAAATTCAACACGTGATTTTGTGAAGGATGATGTAGAATTACTGAAAAGAATTGATGATAAGCTTAACAAGAAACGCAAACCACTCAAGGTTAGCAATAGCGAGTTTAAGAAATTAATTAAACAGTTTAGAATAGGAGTGGTTGTCACGATTAATAAACCAGGACTATTGGAGGCGATAGACTCTGTTATATCATGTTATAAAGAGCTGGTTAAAACGAATGAGGATGAGTTAAACGATATAAAAAAATTGGTGATTGAACAGTTTTACAAACAACCTGATCTTACTGGAATGGGAGCATTCTTTAGATTTGCTTCTGAAGGAGATTTTAAGTATAAAATATCACTGGACCCATTAAACAAGCATCAGTTTGTCTACGTGATCTATCGAATTTTGGTCGAACGTGTGAACGATGAAAGATTGGAATATAAAGTGAACAATATTTTTGACCAGTTAGATTTCATTATATAAATGGCCAACATTTTACATATTAAAGGTGAACTTGGGGAATTATGTGAAGAAAATGAATTGTTAAGAAAGAGAAATGAGCACTTGCAAAATTATCAAAATCAAGTTTCGGAGATATTAGCCTAGAAATACCCATTTTTTTTACCTATTTTTACAAACATTTAAGCAAATATTTATCGTAATATTCTATCATATGATTGCAACATTTCTGGCTTTTTTGTTTGTGGAGGTTTTCTTTTTCTATTGCAAGTTAGATTGTAAGTATACATGTTGAGATGGCGACTATCGATTTGATCCCAAGAATAACTAATTATATCGAGGAAATAGTTAAAAAAAACGAAACTTTGAGAGAGATTAACGAACAGTTAGAGAATTATAAAACGGAAAACATTTCATTTTATTATTATTATCACATTTTAAAACTTGTTAGAAGCAATTATTTTAGAATAATCATTATTTATCTATTATTATTTACTGTTGGGGTTTTCTATTATTTTTATCTTATCAAGTATTTGGAATGCTCTATATGGCTAGATGGTTTGATTTGGCTTTTAGATTTTAACACTTGGCATTTGTTTAGGTTGTATTGGTTTGATTTTGATATTATTTGGAGAAAGTATTATTTTTTTTTTAGAGTTTATCTTTTTAATTACACACGATACAATGAGACACAATGGGACAGATACTTTGATTTAACAAATATTACAATGTAAAATTACATGTTTATTTGATATATTTTATTACAAATTACTTTTTTCTTCTCATTTCAACGGGTTTCACCTCAAATAATTTTTCTGTCCAGTATACTATCAGTTTCATTTTTTCTTCAATTTTATCATTTTTATCATATTTTGCGGCGAAGTAGTCTAAGGTTAAGTTGGCATCGGTGTTTACTTTCTTTAAAGTATCTTCATAGTTCAAGTTCTCATTTGTGAGTTTATTATTATCTTTTTGAAGTTTCTCATTTTTATCAGATAGTTTTTTGTTTTGATTGGTTAAGGTCTTGTTATCGGCTAGCAAGTTGGTATTTTGCGCTTTGAGTTTATCATTCGCTTCTTTAAGCGGTTTCAGTTTATCGTTTTCCTCTTTTAAGGTGTTTATTTGGCTGTTCAGGTTGGTTATTTGGTTGGTTAACGGCTCGTTTCCTTTTTTTAGTTCTTCGTTTTCTTTTTTTAATTTTTTTATTTCATCGGTTAACTTGTTGAAATCTCCTTGGATTCGGTCAGCGAGACCGCTACTGCTTGGTAATTGTAACGCTCTCGGTTGAATTTCAGAGTTAGACATTTTATTTTTTAATGTATTTTATTTTTTATTTATATGTTAAAATATTGTTAAACAAAAAAATAAAAAAAAAATAAAAAAATAAAGAAAAAGGCTAAAGCCTTATACAAATTGAAATATATCTATTCTTCGAATGGGAGGTCATAACTAGGAAAACTTCAGTAAAAATTTTTACATGCTTGTAACAAATTATCTATCATGTTTACAATGCTTTTTTCTTTACTTCTCCCAACTATATAATAATGGCATCTGCATAATTTTCTAACGAAACTACTATCAGGTTTAGGTACAAATGCTTTACCCTTATATCTCACATCATTGTATAATTCTTGTTTTTTATTTCTAAAACAGGCTTCTGTCAATTTATCCATGTTTTTATCAAAGTTAGAAGTAAATGCTTCAAGGGTTTTAGGAGCTTTACTTCCATACATATAAGCTAAGCATTTCCATAATCTTTCTTGAACAGGACCGGTTAAGGTGAGGTTTTTACAGGCATTTACTAATTTTTTTAATTTTTCCATCAAGCCATCTTTATCATTATACTCAACACCGAGCAATTTAAGACATTTGTCCACTTCATCAATAATACTATTAAGGATAGCATTTAATTTTTCAACATCATTTTGTTTGCGATATCTTTAATGTTCACATGGGTGGTGATGATTTCATTAATCTTAATTTCGACTTCTCTTCTATGTTTTTTACATTCTTCAAGTTGGGTTTCAAGTTCGCGAATTCTGGTATAATCGGTGTGATCTATAACTTGGGTATGAAAATGATGTTGGTGAATTATGATTGGTCGCCCTCCTCCTCTTGGTCTTAAACAACATCTTCCTCTAAAACGACGTCTACCACCACCAACCCAATTTCCAAGAAGATTACATCTAGTTTTAAACTGGGTGATTTTTTTTTTTTCTTCATTTTCGTCGTTTAATTCTTCAAAATCATACTCATTTTCATCGTAAACAATTTCAATTTCAGACATTTTTATTTTTATTTGTTTTATTTTTTATTTTTTTACTTTTTTTTTACTTGAATTTTTTAGCTTTATTTATTAAGAATTTAAGTATATATTTTATTTATATTAGAAATGTTTTTAATATCATTACACGCTTTAACTAACAGATTCATTTTTTGGTTTATGCTAATATTTTTTTCATGTTTAACATCCAATAAACTTAAAGAAAGATCAAGTTTCACAATATCCATCCCTTCGAATGATGTTAAGTATATTAGATTGTAGAGATGCATGTATAAAATATAAAAATTATAATAAATTTGATGAATTATTTCATTTAGGTATAGGTGAAACTTGAAGATTTTCAGGTGAAATTCTAGAAAAATTAATTAGTTTTGTCCAATAAGATAGAAAAAAAAAAAAAAAAAAAAAGGAAAAATACAAACTAATTAGAAAGTTTAACATCTTTATTTTTTTAAAAAAATAAAGTTTATATTTATCCTTTTTATCGTTTGCCTCTTTTTTTTGGTGATGTGGCTCTTCTTTTTGGTGATGTGGCTTTTCTTTTTTTGGTTCTTTTTTTGGATGTCTTGTGTCTTGGTTTTTTTGTTGTTGGTGGAGTAGATCCCTTTGGCTTATACACGTTTTCGTAATACGCTCTACCTCCCTTACCAAATTTCTGCAGAAAGATGCCTCCTTCGTATTGTTTTGTGATCTTACCATTCTTGTTTAGTATAGGCATGTAACGCTTTTTATGAAAATTCCATGTATGGAGGATTGGCAGGTTGCGTTGCAATTTATGTAGTTCAATTTCTATGACAATATCGGCTGCGTGTTGCATGTCAAACAGGAGCACAAGGACAATCATGAGCCACAGAACGAATCTCATTTTGTTTAAATTTTTATCCGGAGAACCAATTATTTAAATAGATTGAATTTAGCAAGGTAGAGTTTATATAAGCAATTTACCGAATAGTTTAATTATATGTAAGTTTACTATATTATTACGTAATATTTTAAAAACTAATAATTATTTATTATGTAGCATGAAAATCATCTGGTTTATCATTTTATTAGTCATAATCAGTCAGTCTTTGGCTGTTTCAAAAAATTTTAATCTAACAGAGTGTTTGAGTAATACAAAGAAGACACACAACATCTTTGAGGCTAAAGACATGCATAATATCAAGTGTCAGGTGAACAACATGTTTACGGAGATGATATACTGTCTTAAGATGTTAAAAGATCATTGTTATGTTGAAAATAGTCTAATAAATAAAAATAATCAGGTCTGAAGCGTAAAATTATTAATAATTAGATTATGTAATTTGATTATGTAAGCATTAAATAAAGATATTTATATTTGATTTTTTTTTATTTGTAAATAATCTCTTTTATGCATGTTAATGTAAGTTGATATTTTGGTTTATTTAATTTTTTGCAATTTAACGGTATAATATATTTGTTTTTTTTTTTTTAGAATGAAAATTACAATGTGGATTATCATTTTTTTCTTTTTACCTCTTAATCTTTGTCACACTATGGAGTATCAATATACTGCGCATAACCAAACATATAACCTTACCGAATGTTTGATTAAGGCGAATGAGACGTATAACATTTATGAAAGCAAGAACTTGAGTGATACAAAGCATCGTTTTAACAACATTTTACAAGAAATAATAACATGTGTTGACATGTTTAAAAATGATTTAAAAATTGAATGTAGCGTTACATATTCATGTTTTTTATTTTAAAATATAAAAATTTTATAATATTTTTAAATAATAAATTTAATTATGTTTAAATTTGCTTAAGAAATTATTTAAAAAATTGCTAATCGATTCTCTAAAAAAACCTAAAATTAAGGTTATGATAATAATATACATCATGATAGAGTTGTCGTAATCTTTAAGAATTGTTAATAACAAGACTATCACTAAACAAAAGACGATAGTGTGCATTTTTTTATCTTTTCTTTCCTTATAATTAAAAAATTAAAATAAATTATTAAAAAAAAATAAATAAATAAATAAATAAGAAATTAAAAAAAAAAAAAAAACGAAATATCATTAAAGTATCTTTTCTTTCCTTATAATTAAAAAAAAAAAATTAAAATAAAGTTTTAAAAAAAATAAATTAAAAAACAAAATACCATTAAAGTATGCATTTTTTCATCTTTTTTTCTACCATATCTTTAAAGAAAGTTCTTTCTTGTTCACGTTCTTTTCTTTCTTCTTTTCTTTTTCTATCTTTTCTTTTTTTCTTTTCTTTGTATTTTTCGTAATCTTGTGTAAAGGAAGTTTGATCGCTTTTCTCTAAATCACTACATTGTTGTTCTTCTCTAAAACAAATAAATTAATATCTAAATAAATAAAATAAATATAAATTGTACAAGATTGATTACATTTTTAACAATTCGTTATGTTGTGTTTGAGAAACGAGACTCATGTTTCAAATTAATATATAATCAGGTGGAATAAATTAGTCCAAATCGGGAGTATATTATACCATTTCAAATTTATACCTTTTCAAGACACGATCTGCTAGTTCCGCTTTAGGAATTTTCATAGTCATGCATGTGTGATTAGGAGCAGAAGTTCAGTTTCAGAGATCATGAAATGATCTACAAGAAAGGATCCTGATCAATCAAATATTGGTTTAATTGTGTGCAACTCAAATTTTTATAGGTTCAAGACACGATCTGCTAGTTCTGTTTAGGAATTTCCATAGTCATGCATATGTAATCAGGAGCAGGTTTTAGAGATCATGAGATGATCTACAAGAAAGGATCCTGATCGATCAAATATTGGTTCAATTGTGATTGTGTCCCAAAATTTTTATAGGTTCAAAACACAATCCGCTAGTTCCGCTTTAGGAATTTCCATAGTCATGCATGTGTAATCAGGAGCACATTATTGGTTTCATGCTCCTGTTTCAGGTACATCCGGATTTGGATAATCGATTTCGTTATCCGATTTACATGTGTAAAATACAACATAATAACGTGTTATTTCTGGTTTCACATGTGGTCATATGCAAGCCACATGCACCAAATATGCTCATCCAATCCTTCCATTCAACCTTGATTTGGAGCGACAAACAATATCCATATGCGGTTTCATTCAATTTTGTTCGTTTTTTGGTATAAGATTGCCTGGTCTCGCAGCATGAACAATCCCCAATTTTTTGCAAATTTTTTCAAAAATTTCACAACTTTTACAGATCTCCAAAAACAATTTGCATGTTTCTTCTTTTCCTAATCTATATCCTTCTCTTGATCGATGCAACTATGTCTTATCTACACCATGTTACTCATTCTGGTCGCTGATTTGCTCCAAATCAAGAGGAGCACTATTCTGAAACCCTTTCAGATACTACTGAAAGTAGTGTGTCCTTTGAGATTGCTCTAGATAGACCTTCTACATATAAGGAGGCTATTCGTTCAGGTATTTAATAGTTCACAATTAATATTAGAAATTCATCTTTCAAGATTTAAAATTCTATTAAATAATAACAAAATGTCTACTCAAAACGATACTACTTTTGCTACCGAAACTCTTGAATTTCAAGAGTCTCAAGAACATATTTCTCAAAATTTATGAGAAGAAATTACTCAAGAAATTTCTAAACTTCTTGAAAAAATTTCAAATTTAGATAAAACTATCGGTAAATTATCTTAAAATTTATTTGTTATAATCTTAATATATTAATTCTAACTTGTTTAATTTATTATTAGTTTCATTAAAAAACGATGTTTTATATTATAAAATTTTATTTTTTATTATTTTTATTTTATTTTGTTTTACTTTCTGGTGAACATATGATACAATTCAAGAGAATTATCAACTTCATAGAGAAGCCGCTGAAGTTGATGTAAAAACTCAACAATGGAATCGAAATGTTGAACGTATACAAAAATTTGTATATGAATATTTAAAAGATCAAAAAATCTTTAAAAATAATTATTTTGATTAATTTATTTTTTATTTAAGTTTAACTAGACAGTTTATTTTCTAATAGATTTTTATGTTCTGGTTGATCGAGAATGTATATTTTTGTTTATTCTCGATCAACCAGAACATAAAAAATTTTTTATGTATTTTTTATTTTAATAGAATGGATGTTATTGATTTTGTGGGTGTGAATTTAGAAGTTTCGTTCTGAGTTGATCTTTGAAGCTTGTATTTTTCAAAAAAACTTTTAAAAATTCTCATGTAAAGAACCAATTATTTGATAATAAAGTCTTTGAAAAGTTTATTTAAACGTGAAAATTTTTATCATTACATTTTAATTCACTCTGAATTTTACACCTTTACAAATTCTTTTATTTAAAATGCCTTCTCTCAAAAAACTTGTTGCTAAATTTACCAAGAAATCTAACGTTGCTACCAGATCTTTTCTAGTTGAAGAATTTAATTATGATGGATGGTCGGATGTTGATTAAGGATCAGAACCAGAATGGGATGTTGAAGAACCGTCTGGTTCAATCGACAATAAAGAAGTTTCTGCAACTTTCTCACTATCAATTGAACAAGACGATCTTTCTTCGGTGAAGATAGAAGAAACACTATTCAAGAGTTACACTTTTGAATAGATGTTGGTGGTTTTGATGCTGTTGTCGTTATTGTTTTCAGTGGCTTTGGTGTGGATCTTTGGCCTCTTGTTCCTGTTATGATAGAGATTCTTGTTGCTGCAGTTGAATCTTTCGGAGAGAAACATGGTGACCTTCGTTGACTCGTGTCTGATACATTACAGTTAGGCCTCGATAAGTAATGTGTTCCAGATGGGCAACGACCTTGATAAGACCATCCAGGATTTGCTGGATGGTAAGGTTCGAATAGAAGATTTCCCTCTCATCAATGTCTGTTTGATAGATGATATCTTCTATTCGTTGGACAATCGAAGGCTTTATTGCTTCAAGGAGGCGATGAAGCGAGGGTTGGATGTTGACAGGATACCTGTTATGATAAGATGGGTATCAGATGTCAACATTGGGTGAAAGATGAAGGGAGCGTATCGGGTGGTGCGGAACACCAATTTTAAGAATGTGGTGGTGAGTCCTTCGTCGAGAAATGGGAGGGTAATTGATGGTGAGGGTTACTGGGATTACTGTGTTTAGTTGTGGTTTTTTTTGTAAATAGTACCTGTAAAAAACTTGTATTTTATACCTAATTCTGTTTAATAAAAATGTAATCTGTACATAAATTCTAGCACATCATTTTGTTTATTTTTAAATAAATTTAGTATGAATCTAAATTTGTCAAGTTCATAGTTTGAATGAAAGATGTGTGATCGACAGTATAAAAATATTTAAATAGATCTAAATTTGGTAAGTGGCTAAAATAAGTAATAAAATCAAGATGAATCCAACAGAGATTTCTTGTCATTTTGACAGTTTTTTTAACAGGTAAATATTTATTTTTTATTGTTTTTTTGATTAATATCTTTGCTGATATATTTTTGAAGTATGTCTACTATTGCGGGCGTTATGAGCTTTCTTGATCAAGAAAAATTTAAAAACACGCAAGGATTTCAAGATGTTTCGTTTTTGATCAAGGTTGAAAAAAGTGAGGATGAGGAGAAGACTGCAGAACTATATTTTCTTGATGGTGATTCGGTTATGAAAATTCAAGTCCCTGATGATATTGAATGCAAAAAAATTAACGAATTGGATCAAAAAAAGATTAAAAAACCTTTCCGCAACTCAAATATTTTTTTAATTAATCATCCAAAAAAATATAATATTTTATTTAAAAAGAAGAGAATTTACGCTTTAATTCCTGAACAAAAGTGTTATACTATTCACAATTTTAACAAACCCGATAACCTCAAGCAATATAAATTAGAAAAGCGTGTTAACAAGGCGTTAAATGTAATCATTAAACTTGAAAATAATTAGTTTAATATTTTATTAAATTTTAATAAATTACCGGTAATTTATTTAGAATAAATTGCCGGTATTTAAATATTAATAAAATCAAACGGAAATTTAAGGTAATAATTTATGATTACAGTAATAATTGAAGAAGTGATAATTCCGTAAATTTTTTCATTATAAATATAAAACACTAAAATGATAAAGAGAAATATATTTATTAAAAAAATCATAAAAAAACATAAAAGTTTCATAAAAAAGACTTTTTCTTTTTGTCTTTCTTCTTTTTGGTCTTGAAGTAAACAAAAAGTAATTTCTATAGTTTGTTTATTATGTTGATTATTAAGTTTATTCATTTCTTTTTTATGTTCATAATGTAGACAGTTTTCTTCATTTTCTTCATTTTTTCGACTTCTATACCAGTCATCAAGAAAGTTACGAACTTGTTCTCTAATAAAATTTTAATAAATTTTAAGAAATAATAATAAAAAAAAAAAACAAAATTATTAATCTTACTCGCTCATTATTAGATAAATATTTTGAGATAAAACTAAAAAATCCATATTTTTTTGTTAATTTTTTATATAACAAAATTTCAGTACAAATTTCTGGTTCGTTCTATAATCAGCATAATTGCATATTTGTATGAATCCAGATTTGGCATTTCGATACTTATGCATGATGACTCACATTTTTGCGTGATACACGATTGATCTACGTACAAATACCTGTAATTGCGCACAATTTTACGTTTTACCCTTTCGCTCTTTTCTATGATGATTGCGTGTTAAGACTGGGGAATACGAGTCTAAACCATGCTATTACAGCATCCCTCGCATGTTTAACTGTAAGATATCCAAGTTTTTTATAAAAACTTGGAGAAAAGTACTCATTTTTTCATGTCTTCATGGGAAGGAGAAACCGGTCATTTTTATCACTTCAGATGGTCTTTATTAAGTTTTGGCTATGCTTTCCACCTCGAGAGCAAACGAAAAACTTAGTGTTTGCATTTTAAATGCACCTTGAGAAACATCTCGAGGAACTGATGTGTTTAGGCTTTTTTTTACTATAGAGATTAAAAAGCACTCTCAATACAAATCATCTTTGGGCATACTACAAGGATTCACCGGTTGAATCCTAAGACTCATAACAGTAAGGCGCGACTCGGTTCACTCTTTTAGGCTTTTGGGAGCTGTACCTGAATTACAAAAGTCAAAATTTATATAAGTTTTACAATCGTGGTTATTGTTCATTCATGGCTTGGGATCCGAACATAATCTCCCCAGTAATTTGGATTCATGTCCGAATTGATCGGTTGCTCTTGTTTTTTTAGGGTCGAGCGATATGTAACTTCCTCACAGTTTGACTCAGGCAACGTGTTTTATCATTAAAAAACACGGCTAATAACATATCAACTTTATTTAATAAAATACAGAATATCCATTACAATTACCAGTCTTTTTATCGTGCTCTAATTTAAAGTCTATTGCTTTTTCTTTTGTTTTGAAGTATTTTGCTTTATATTTTCTTTTTTTTTGCCAATTGAATTTCCATCTTTTGTTTGTTTTATTAAAACAAATTCCATTATAACCTGAAGTATTATTTTTAAATAAATTTCTATTTAAATTATTTTCTGAATATGTAGTTTCTTTTAAATTTATTTCTCTATTATCCAAAGTAATTTGATTGATATGATCTATCATCTTATATTCTGATTTTATTAAATGTTGAAATAATATTCTATCTTTTTTAATACATGTACATATATAATAATAATTTTGTTTTGTGTTGTGTTTATAAACTGTCTATGTGTAATTTTTTAAGTATTTAAAATGTTTGTAATCAGTGAGAAATGTGATGTCAGGCTTCTGGGTTTTCACCTCGAGGTACAGTTTGTTGTTGATCTTCACTGTGCGATATTCATTCAGCTTGAGCCTGGGTTTGTCTGGATTTGTGATCTTCTCCCAGGTTGTTGCGTGTTCGAACAATAGGAATTTCTTTTTCCAGTCCATTGTTGATCGATAAATTTCCTAATATAGAAATCTAAATTTGGTAATTTTCAAGTTATAAATATGAATTTTTGTGTATCTTGGTAATAAACTTAAAAATAAAATGAAAGAGGATAGAATTTGAGAACGATGATGAGATAATTCACCCTATTTATTATGTTTTTAACCACGTTTTCGATCCACACACCTTTCAAAGGTGTTCGTTGGTCTGTAAAACATGGAAAAAAGATTTTGATGAGCATCTTTTTTGGCGAAAGGTTGTCGAGGATTGCGGTTTTGAATCTCCAAGACCGAACTCGAGAAAATATAAGACTTACAAGTCGATATTCATTAAAAAATTTGCCCTTGCTATAAGGGGTTGTTGAAAAAGCACAATTTTGTCTATGTTGTGAACTTCAAATTATGCATCTTACGAGAATATTGTTATTACAAATTATGATACAAAGTCTACAAGGATAATTATGTTTATCATAATCTTGTAAATTTTGTTTTAGAAAAAAATTTAAAGTTGATAGAAAAAAGCAATATGTCAACTCATTGTACTTATCTCTTAGGTTATGTCGGAGATTTAATAGATCAAATTTACAAAAAACGTGATAGAATTGAGAAATATAAAAAAATTTGTAAGTTTGTTAAGATTGATTTTATTCGGGTTATTAATCGTAATTTGTACAATATCATTGATAGTAGAACATTGTATATCGAGAAATTCAGAGGGTATGTAAACGATTGGAATTATACAGTAGATAATAAGGCCGAATATAAAGATCTGTAAATATGAATGCATAAGATATGGTTTAACTTTATTTTACAATAAAATATAAGTGTTAATGCTAAAAAAAATAAATTAAATGGTTTTGTTTTTTTATTTTATATTTTTCAATTTCTCCGAGTCAGTGATCAAAAATATAATTGAAACAAGATAAATAGGTGAACTATTTTATCCTCAATCATTTCATTTTAACTATAAATTTTTCTGATCAATATGGAATCATACTGGAAATCAAAATTTGATACATTTGAAGTTATTACAGATTGGGAAAAATACAAAAATTTAAATAAACCCAAACTCAAATTGAACGAGTATCGACTTGTGAAGATCAACAAGCTGTACCTAGAGGTGAAAACTCAGAAACCAGACATCACGTTTCTCACCGACTACAAGCATTTCGAACATTTGAAAAATCACACATGGCGTGCACATAAATATAAGAAATCAAATACATTTTATATTTTAACAAATATTAAAAAAGATCATAAATGGCCAAATTTACATTTTCATCGTTTAATCAAACCAGAATACAAAATGATCGATCATATAAATCGAATAGGATTTGATAATCGTGATTATAATCTAAGAGAAACAACACATCAAGAAAATATGTTAAATTGTAAATTATCTAAAAGAAATAAATCTGGATATAATGGAATTTGTTATGATAAATTTCAAAAAGAGTGGAGATTTTCTTGGTATGAAAATAGTAAACTTAAACATAAGTCTTTTAAAGGAGATAAAGATGATTTAGAGTCAAAACAAAAATATATTAATTTTAAGTTAAATCATAATTTAAAAACTGGTAATCGTAATGGATATTGTGTAGTTTAATTTGAATAATTAATAAAATATAAATTTTAGTTGTCGGTGTTTAATTTCATAGAGTATCTCAAAAATCAAATTGTGTTTATAAATTGAGAAATTATCTAAAATTTCATCATTAAAATCTAACATCATTATAAAAATTTACAACAGGCCAGCCTGCCTAAGGCGCGATTTACAAAAGGCGGCGTTAAAGGAGAATGTTACAACTGACGAAGTTAGGAGTAAGTTCCTCCTTTAATGTCGACTAACGTATTTTTTCTCGTTGCTCAAATAGTGTTATGAGAAAAAGTTGTTTCTAATTGTGCTACGTTATACCTGATCTTAAAATTTGATTGGTCAATCATATGAGAGGCGATAAATTAGTGACATTGCAGGGTGTGGTGAATAAATATACCCTATAGTTATTTATATTATCTTTTAAACTTTTAATAAAATTTTTAATATATAAAATAGTTTTATACTCACACAATGCTAGTAATTTAGTTTATA